TCAACGAGCTTTTCGAATCTGTGCTGAGATTTCGTCAGATACCAACCCATTAGAGCTGATCAGACTTCCAAGATAATGGAAGTTGTCAACGCGTTCGACCACTTTACTCCCCATCCTTAGTTCAGGTGTTGACGCAGACCAGTCTTGAAGCAACAACTTGCAGTGGGTTAATATCTCACAACAGAACCGATTGAACTCCATTGATTACTGCTTCTCATTAGAACTCTAGATAGATCACTATTATAATTCAAATGAATTGTTTACAATACTTAATATAATAACAAAGAGAGCATTTTACAATGTAAATATTTATCATTTGTATTAGTTTGTTGTTTTGGAGTTTATTAACCATTCAATATGTCATTGATGTTACTAACTTTTCAAATGTTGACAAGAGTTCTTACTTATTAATGAATGTTTATTATTTTTTGGTTTTTGTTTTGTTTTCTTATTTGTTTTGATGTATAAACAATAGAACAACAAGACATGTAAGCGAACACTATTTTGTTCACTTAGATCATCATCAGGCTTTACTTTAATATACATGAATATCAAAGCAATTTGATTCAATAATCATAATGAAATAGAATATATCATTGCGCTAGTATTATTCTCATATCCGATAAAAAGCTTATGATTTAAGGCTAAATTGAGGCAATCTACACAAGATGCACATATGACAATATGAGACCGATGAATTGTAGTCTCAAACATCAATGGGAAGATTCAAGTAAAAAGCAATATCAAGTGAATATCCGGCATTTGTTTGTACTTTTCTGCCTCTTTCCGTTTGTATTCTTCACTATCTTATTATGTATACGCTTCTTATTACGTAATGGTTTTAATGTTTTATGATGATTATTTTAAGTTTATTTACTCATGTTTGACCTTCTATTCCCAATGTTTGAATATCATTAAACGACCGGGCAATCTTCCAATATTTTTCATTCCATTTCGTCCAATTAAATGACTAGTTATCAGTTTAGGGGTTGTGGTGATTGTTAAGTTTTTGATTGAGATCATGAACTGATTAATGTTAGACCACCATTGAAAACCTGGAAGTGATCCAGTAGGTTAAGCGTTCGCGCGCGAGATCGAAGGCCCTGGGTTCGAATCTCGCCGGGGGGCGGGATCATGGATGCGCACTGCTGAGAAGTCCCACAATAGGACGAAACGGCCGTCCAGTGCTCCCAGGTTTCCAATGGTGGTCTAATATGAATCAGTTCATGATATCAAATAAATGACTAGTTTAAAGTTCGTTATAATTGGTCAGTTATTTCTTAAAACTGATATAAATGTCAGTACTTGTCGACAGAGCACATTGTCTTCAAATTATGGGCGATAGTTATGTATGAAGTTTAAACTCTTTCGTTTCTCAAGTTATCATAGGAACAGAGAACGTATTCTTGAATATATTATCAACCACAATGTTGAACTATTGAGAAGACTTTTGTTATCGTATTTTATTATTCTTACCTACTATCGGTACACCTGTTTTCCTACTATCAACTTGTACTTTTACCTATTATATACGGTGATGTATTCTATCACATTATGATTATTGACCCAAATCGCTTTGATTGATTTAACATAATTCGTAATTTAGTACTAATCAAGTTAAATTAAGTAGTATGATTTCAATAAAGAGTCACTTAAATTTGAGTACATCTAACCTATATTGAATGTGGTATACCTTATTGATTGTACCAATTATTCTCTCTATCAGTGATTTATGATATATGTATATTCTATGAATGAGAAAAAAGAAAGATTTCTGTACAGTTTGTCTAGTTTATGGTTTACATCATGGAAATACATTTACATATGAGAACTATTAAAAAGATATAGATAGTTCAACTGTTCAGTGCACAAGTTTAAACCTTGTTAAGATTAAACAGCTATGTCAATCATAAGTCAGTGGAACTTAAGAACTCATGACTTAAAATATACTAAGTAATCTTTTAATACCAAGATAATTGTCATCATTCTTAACTTTAAATAATGTATAATATTAATTCAGTAGTTATTTCATTTAATCAATGTGTATAACAGTTTTACATTTTCAATATGATCAATTTCAAATATCTATTACAAGTGAATGAAATGAATATAAGCAAAGATGGATGATAATGGCTAGTAGTGGAAATCAAAGACAAGCATTTCAGCTTATCTGAGACTTGTATTCTAGAGTTGATGCTCACTCTCTAAGACTCAAACTCAGGGACATTTGCTTCAAGCACCATTATGTCACCTACATAGAGCTCCTTAGTTCAAACAGTATCGAGGCAATCCGCTATTTTAAACATTAATGAGAAGATTTAAGCAACCAAATACAACAATAAACTAATCAAATTATTTTAATATCAAATCAAAAGTGTTTATTTCACTATAGCTTTAATAAAATGTTCAGTTGATATTCATTTACATAATAGAAATCATAGTTTTTGGTGGAGTTTTGTTCTCTGAGCTGGATGGTTTGGTCGTTGTTCGAAAATGAGAGAATTTCGCCTAGAGGCAGGCTTCCACTCGAGAACAACTATATTTTCTCCATAACCAACCAGCTCAGAGGACAAAACTCCACCAAAATCATCCACCTGAGCTACAAATCTTCTCCACCATCTCAGAATTCATAGTCAATATATTCTTTTGCAGTTAAAAATGTTAACACTATAGGATATAAATACTTATGATTTCCTTCATAGAACATAAGCTAATTGTTTTGAATTAACACGTAAAGAAACCATATTAAACGATCATCTTTTGTTGTTGTTGAATAAATTACTAGTGAGAATGAAAATTTACAAACTATTTGTTTATATGATTTACTCATTAGTACATACTTAGATTTTAATGTAGTCTAATCAACATTTCAACGTTATGGTTGCCTACGCAAAATACCATGGATCCGTTGGACAGACACTATCAGCAACAACCTACTGCTAGAGAGAACAAACCAGATTCTAACGGAGGAAGAAATCAGGAAGAAGTGCTAGAAGTGGATAGGAGACATATTGAGGAAAGCACCCAACTGCGTCTCAGGGAAAGCCCTCACTTGGAATCCTCAAGGACAAAGGAGAAGAGTAAGACCAAAGAACACATTACACCATGAAACGGAGACAGACATGAGAAGAATGATCAACAATTGGATAGAACTGGAAAGGAAGGCGTAGGACAGAGGGAGTTGGAGAATGCTGTTTGGCGGCCTATACCCCATTGCGAGTAACAAGCGTAAGGAAGTAAATAAGTAACATATGACATATGGCATTACATTATTGTTCTCTAAAAAATTAGTCAATTTCATAATAAAGAAGTAATCAATAAATGGCGTACAATTAAAAAGTCTGATAATGTATTAAATTAATAAGTAGCTAAGGGAAGTCGAATCAAAAACTCATTCACATGTTAAGGCGTTGGTGATCCACCAATTCAAGCCACCAAATTCTTCCAGTACACTTTGATCATGCTTGGTTTTTGTACTTTCTAAACTTTAATCCGTTATTATTATCTTCTAACAATTACTATTCTCACAGGTTGAAATCATGAGTCAGTTGAAGCTAGACCACCATTGAAAACCTGGAAGCACTGGACGGCCGTTTCGTCCTGGTATGGGACTCCTCAGCAGTGCGCATCCACTATTCTATTATTATCATAATCTTAATGGTTTTAATTTTCCTTCATGTTTGTCAAGTGAATAATTATTTCCCATATTTCTGATCTATAAATTATTTTCATCCTCAAACTATTCTCTCACATCTTGATCATTAAACAACTTCCATAAGATATTTTAAAAAATTGGATCATTGTATAATTCAGTCTCTTCTATCCATTCTGTGAACTCATATTTCTCGAAAAATTGTAAATACGAATGAATACAATAGAAGTTCGAAGTTCTATCCATCTTTGTTAACTCATGTACTTGATACATATAGATGGAGTTCTGGTGAGAAACCATGACCAGTGGAGTGTAATCCATGTCGAGTGTAAGATAGTTATCCACATTAGACAATGGATGAAGGGTTGAGCAAGATTATGGATCAGTCGAAGTTAGATATTAACACTATTTGGATACCTGCTCAGTGATTGAGATGTTGAGTATTTGCGTGTGAAACCAAAGGTTTTAAGTTAGAGTCCCGCGTTCGAGATCGTGACCACATACTACTGAGGTGCCCAATAATAGAACGAAACGTCTATCCAGTACTTTCAAGTTTTCGATAATATTCTAGCATAGATCGACTCAAGAATTCAATTTTGAAAATACTACAATCTCCACAAATCCCCATATTGATCAAAATTTTAATGATTGTTTGACTTCCATAAAATTTTATTTAAGACATATAATTATGAAGTCAGTCAGTTAGTCAGCTACAACGTACGACCAGGAACATATATGCATCGGTCCAAGTTGCCATACCTCATTAACACAACAAGATGGACACCGGATTGACAAAAGTAGTTAATTCAGAGGTGATAATATATAAAAGAAAGATTGCAATAGAGAAAGATATAAAACGATTTTAATCTCTTAGTTTAAGGGAAAATAGAGAGTGTATATATCGACGCCATTGTGATCGATTCTGAACCATGTCACCAAGAGTCTCCAACCATTGGTTACGATTATGAAGTAGAAATGAATATAAAAGATATTCATAAGAAATCAATGAATAAGTTAAATGACTATAACCTAATGAATTTAGTTGTCTATCATGTGAAAAGTTAATTCATTTCAATCCATCTAACTAGGAATGTGGTGATTCAAATAATTGATCCAATATAAAATTATAACTGTATACTTTAATGAAATTAATATATATTGATTTAAGATCTCTTATATTAAACAAACACAATTTCTATGTTGTTAACAAGAATGTTATCACCCTGACCCCTGATAAAACTTATCGGAATTTAAATTTAAAAAAAAACAACTTTGTCAGAGTTAAAGGTTATCGAGTTTTTATATTCATAAATCTACTTTTAAAAAAAATATTATAAAACCTACATACTTGATATTCATAATCTTGTGTCTTCACTTTACGTCCTCTTCTAGATGCACGAAATGCTATACTTGCTGCATGCGCTGCTGATGCTCGTCTCAGTGCACTACTACTACGACGTGGTGTTTTATCATTATCTAAATTATTGAATTCTTTCTTTGAAAATAAATCCATTGGTATATTTCTTTCAACTCGTACAGTATGACATAATGAAAGTAAAAGTAATAATGTTTGTACACTATTTACTGTAGGTGATTGACTAGAGGATTCAGTTATTGTTTTTAAATGTACAGCTTCTGATAATTCATCTAATTCTTCTTGATTCTCTTGACTAATTGAAGTTCTAAAAGCTTCTATATCAGTACCATATATACTTGAAGGTGAATCTGTATAACGAAATAAACCATTATTTTCAAAGTGAAAAACACCCATAGATGTAGCTAATCGACGAAATTGCATTGAATTTTCTGTTAATGTACCAGTTTTGTCAGTGAAGAGATATTCAACCTAAAAAATATAATTAATACTGTTTAACAATTTATGAATATATTGAGCACATCAATATTTATAGTGTTACTATAATTGACTTAATATAATATGCCTGAATGCTATTACGAGTTCACCTTACTCGGTAAACGGAACGAAAGTCAAAGATACAGTGACACGATAGACTATTGTTATCCGTTGTCCCAAGCTCTACTAAATAGATCAAGAAGTCTTGATGAGGCGTAAAGAATGTATTCTACAAGCACCCAGAAAATACGAGGTCACTAAGCACACAAATCAAACGTATTTATACAATGATAAGAACACCCTTGGGAGAGCCACATAATAGCATACTAAAAAATTCCATCAACTAATGACAGTGAGGGATTTGAGAGTGGGAAATGTAAGTTGTTGGGCAACGAAGTGTCCCTTAGCGCGAAAATATAAAATTCAAATTTTCAGAATAAAATTACAAAATTAGAATCTTTTCCAAGTGAGGTCTGAGGATCTAACGTCCTCAACATAAAAAACTGTGATTTTTATAAGTTTTTAACTATTAGGTCCTAAAAACATTTTGTTGATAAATAAAGGCTATTAACCTCCCAATTTGCCAGATAAAGCTAATTTATAATTCATTTTAATTAAACATGCCTCTTACTAATAAACAATAGTTTGTTCATCAACTTCATATACAAAAAAATCTAGTCTATGTCATAGGACATTTAGAAATCTTTATTCATAAAGAATAATACATAATAAACAAGACAATTTTCGAAACGTTTTTATGAAAAATTATAAACCAGTCTAAATGACATCACCATTGAAAACCTAGAAACACTAGATGACCGTTTCGCCCTATTGTGGGACTACTCAGTAGTGCAAATCCACGATTTTGCTCGCGGGATTCAGTCTTGCTCGCGAACACTTGACCTCTAGACCAGTGAGTCGGAATCCAACGGTGTTAATGTCTAACCTCAACGGCCGTCCAGTGCTTCCAGGTATCAATGGTGGTCTAACATCAATCAGTTCATGATCTAAATCAAAAATTTAATAATCTCCACAACCTTATATTGATAATTACCACGTGCTTACTAGTGACTAACTTCGTGAGGGAATTCATGGAGTTCTAGTAAGAAGATATGACCAGTGGAGCTTATCCATGTCGGGTAGAGACAGGTATCTACCTCAGTACAATGGAAGATCGTTGAGCAATTTTTCGGACTGGTTGAGGTCAAACATTAACACAGTTGGATGCCGACTCAGTGGTCTAGAGTTTAAGTGTTCGCACGCGAGACTGGAGGCTCTGAGTTCAAATCCCGCGAGCGGGATCGTGGATGAGCACTACTGAGTAGTCCCACAATAGGTCGAAACGGTCATCTACTGTTTCCAGGTTTTTAATAGTGGTCTAACATCAATCAGTTCTGGATCTCAATCAAAAACTTAATACTCTTCACAACCCTATACCGATAACAAAATAATATTATCAAGATATCATTGATTGACAAAATTCTTAAGATACAAATGTTCATTTGAAATATCAAATACAATCGTTTAAGAAAAACAATTCCTGATGAAGAATTGTTGTCAACTGTTTTACTTCAAACAATCTTTAAATTGTAAATAAATTAATATGTTTGTCATATCATAATGAGTAGAAGAATTAGATTTTCTGACGTTTCGTGACTCAGTGTAACTCACTTCATCAGAAAACAAAGAACAAAATCATAATTAATCCAAGTTCAAATAGTACAAAGGACGAAAGCATGAATATCATCTGTCATCATTAAAAAAACAAGTCTGAACAAGTCAATGTCATGTCATTTCATTCAAGGTGGGTTATAAGCAACATTTATGTAAATTTGTGTGTGTGTGTATGTGTGCAAGGTCAGGGATGAAAAATGTGTGACCTCCATGGTGAGAAAGGACAGTGTTTAATTTGTATGTAAGATAATTGTGTGAATTGTGAATAACATCAGACTAGGTGGCTAGGATAGATAGTCCATGTCCGATGTATACTAAGGCCTTCTTTTCTATCGAGAGTAGTAGGATTAAACATTATATGGAACGCTTCAGCTACTCTCCTTTCTTTGTAATCGGAAAAACATGACATGACATTGATTTGTTCAGACTTGCTTTCTTTTATTATTCATACCTAATATACTTGCTTTGTTCCTTTGTACTATTTGAATTTAGAATAATTTTGATTTGGTTATTTATTTACTCTGAAGAAGTGGCTTACACTGAGTTACGAAACGTCAGAAAATCTAATTCACAAATATTTTATTTATAACAATCTATCCAATTCTCAATTTATTCGAAATGATCAAGTCAAATCTTGCTGATCATACCTACAAATCAGTGAAGTGATTGAACTGATAAAGTTTGCAAATGAATTGAAAAGAAAAAGTCTCCCTTTTGTTGATGTCTCATTAATGACAATAGTTATTTAGAAAATGAAATAATTTTTGACTGAAAGCTAATTTCAAAAGTATAGAATGGTCATTTTTAGGTTGTACCTAAGACCTCAGTCAATCTTGCTGCTAATACTGGATCGCCATTCTAAAAAAAACTCTCAGGGTAAGCCTGCTGGTCTCCCTCGCTTCAGATTTCCTATAGCTTTTTCAATGTCGTAAAGAGTTGGAGGACTTACATTAACTTGCCATTCAGGTCGAGTGGAGATCGTGGGAAACCAAAATGTGCCTGAAGGCCAGTTGAACTGATCCCTAAAGTGTTTTGACTGTTAGAAACTAATCTGTTTAAACTACTGAAGAGAAAATTTATTTTTGAATGTTTCAACTCTTCGAATGACTTGTGTTTTATAAAACAAAACAAGAACTTGTATTTTCCTAATAATATTAAAAATCGTTTACAAATGAAATTAATATAACGTTTTGTTTTGTTTAGTTAATTGAATATCATCTCAACTTAATACATCCCTCTATTCGGTTTTTAAAGACTAGAATGCAGAATCTACATTATTGTTATAACGCTCAGTTTTACTTCGTCTATATGTATGGGACGTTAATTTATCTTAGATGAATATCTACAATAGATTCCCTCCTAGTGTCTATTCTACAGGACTTCAACACAACTCAGATCAAGAACATGTGATTAGCCAGACCACATCGTAAATATATTTCCACACCAAAATACCGACAACAAGCCGACACTATCCAACAACGATCAATAATAAATAATAATAAGGATAAGAAAATATATAACTCATCTAACCATTATTATTCGTGGCTTTATTCAATATTATATTTTAGTACAATATAGAATTCTCAACACAAAGTATCTCAACAAGTTTCCTTTCCTTATTTCTTGGTCGATCTTGACGATAAATATTGAGTGACCTCCAGTTCGATGACAGAAGTTCAAGAATCGACATCTGAATAATGTACAATTTTTTATGTATATAGCCAGCAATCACCATGTTTTTGATTGGGCGAAATGTCATAAACTTTTCATAAACGCACTTCAATAAGTTATGCGATTAATAGGCATATTGATGTGTTAAAACAAACAAGAAAACAGATAATTTATTGAAATATCCAAATGGCAGGAACAGGCCTATGCTTTTTCACAAGGATTAACAGGCGTAAGTAAGTAAGGGACAAGTAGCTCAGATATTCAAGCAGGCTGCCCTGGTACCTGAATTATTACTAATTAGATTTTTCGAATTCTGACTAACTGCCCAACAAATATTAATTGATGCTGTATGGTTTTATTCCTGTTAATCGTTTGATTTAAGTCAACCTACAAGATGAGGTGTTTGGTTCACTTTAAATGGTTTAATGGTAAACGGGCAGATTTAACTTATTTCGTTTTTTTTTAATTTACTTGACGGTGTATATTGTAAACACAGACTTCAAAATAAATTAAATCTAAACCATTTGGAGGGCTTCCATTTGAGTCCATGAGAGTATATTCATGACTAACAGATGATTTTGAATCTCGACCACATTTATAAGTTAACGTCTAGGTTGTAAACAAGTTATGTGGATCCTGGCATAGCAACACCTTGTCGGTAGCATTCAACAAAAAATCGTTCACTTAATTAGAACAAATAACGGTCTTTAATGGTTGAATTCATGAGTCAATGAAAGCTAGACCACCATGGAAAATCTGGAAGCACTAGTATGGAAATCCTCAACAGTGCGCATCCACGACCCCACCACACCCGCGAGATTCGAACCCAGGACCTATCAGTCTCGCGCGCGAACGCTTAATCATTAGACCACTGAGTTGGCCGGCATCCAACGGTGTTAATGTCTAACTTCAAACAATCCACAAAATTGCGTCATCGTACACCATCGTCTTCAGTGAGTTGATATCTCACAACAAACCTGGTTGAACTCCACTGGTAACGGCTTTTCACTAGAACTCCAAGAGTACCTCTTGAAGTCAGTCACTAGTGAGTAGATGATTATTATCAGAAGGGTTTTTTTGGAGATTTTAGAAATTTCAATAGTTGAAATCATGAGTCGATTGAAGCTAGACCACCATGGAAAACCTGGAAATGATAAAAACATATCCTAATATTCACTTTTATATAGTTTTCATTGTAACCCCTTTGTATTCCAGTTAAATTTAGGTTCATAGTAATTACAAAAGAATAAATAAGATGAAAGATGAAAACAATTTGCATCTTTTCAAATGAATGAATCATGTAATCTAGTAAACACTTCTTGATTTTTAGGAACTTATTTCTCAAAATTATCATCCATATGAAGTGTAAGCTGAAAATGTCCAAAATGATAATGAAGCACCTCTATTAAACCATTTAACTTAAAGAACAATGTGTAATACATATTAACATTACTTTTATAGAAGCCACAAACTCTACATTCTTATACAAACAAAAAAAACAACTGTCATCATATAAATCTTAATCTTTTTAGTAGTAATTATTAAAACATTACATTACTTACTACAAAGACTTGTCAATTTTACCATTAACATCATGAAAGAATCTCAGTTAAACAATCACTAAAAGCTATGAAGCACTAGACATCAAA